TTTAAATATAAATAGAGTGCGATAATACTTTGGTGACAACGAATTTGAGAAAGTGAAACGCCGCAAAATGGCAAAACGAAATTAATAGTCCCTCTGGCCTAAAACTTATTTTTAAAAGTATCACACTAGTAGTAGTACAGCTACTGAAAAAGATATTATTAAGCTATTTTATAGTTTTATAATTTTTTTTTTTAATTTTTATTTTACAGTAGTGTGAATTTCGCGTAATAATGAACGACATTCCTTTTCTGTGTTCGCAGTATTATTCGTAAGATATTCAACTGTTAGATTTTAAAGTAGACGTAATTCTTGCTGTACATCAATCGAGTAGAAGCTTATCGGAGGTCTATATTTGTATTAAATGAAGAAGGTTTATGTGCTTGATAAACTTATTATCTTCTACATTTTTAAAACATACAATTACAATTTATATCTATAATTTCAGGAATAGTATAACCTTTCTTTCAGTAGAAATTGCGTTCTTGCTTTCTGAATGTGGCTTCAAATACTCTCTCAGTTCATCGCAAATTAAAATAACTACAAATCTTGGCAATCTGAAATACGCAATGAAAACAAGTTTTGGCAGAGCAAAAGCATCAATATATTTTCTATAAATTTGCCCCGATTCAGAGATCTACGACCGTATTCTTCGTTTAAAATATGAAAACATCAGCAGCGAAAACACATACAAAGCCATTGTCTACTTAGTACGTCAACTGCACAACCCTGATTGACGACGCGGCAACACTTTTTTCACGCGCTTTCGACAACTTCCGTACTCAGAGAATATAGGATGTCGAGCAGACCTGTTTTTTACTAGCAGCGACATCTGGCGGCCCACAACTTGCTGTCGACTCTCGTAGCGTAGAATAACCGTCCTGGTTACGAACCAGTTTCTCTTAGAAATTCCTCAAAGAACGCACCTCTCCCTCTAGGTAAATAGCCCTTGTTTGCTTTATCATAAACAAATAAATCCAAACTAATAAAAGGCAATATGTTAGCCATTTAAATAATTTTAATGTGTCTAAATTTAAGCTGCAGCGATTATATAATTTATTTTAGAGAAATTTATTACTCCTATATTTATATACAGAATGCTAATCTTCGAATTGAAAACTCTGGAAAACATTCCCATCAAAAGATTAATTCCAGTCTGATCGTTAGTAATCAACTAAACTCAAATTGTCTTTCGCGAGGATGAAATGTTGCTTGCCCATACGATCTATTAACACCAATGAGAAATGCATCACCGCATGAGTTTCGTATGTCCTTGATGACAATTAAATGCCCTTGGGATTCGATTTTGGGCCTGTTATATGGCAGTCGAATACCGCATCGCTATCGCAAAAGAGTTCTCCTATGGAAAATTCTGATATTCAAACTGCTTTCAATACGAGCATTTTCAGTTGACTCACGAGATCACTTCATGTTTATTAAAGGGTTTAACAAATGGCAAGAGTTAAACTGTTAGAAGTACTCTGATTTTAAAATTTAAAATACAGCAGATATGAATTTCCCTCACGGACTGGAGGAAACGGCGTTCGCCAAAGTCCTCATCTCCTTTCTTCTTGCTTAAAAGCAAGATTGCTACCAAAATAAAAATACAGTAGCACAAGGGACACCCGCTGGAGCAGATATTTTGTCCCTTAAATAGAAGTGTACCTTCTTCAGAGGACACCTGTTAATAATAAGCAATTCAATTTGAAGTTCGGGTTGCATCAACCTGGATATGAACCAGTTATAATTCATAAACATATAACATTATTCGTAGTATAAATTAATTCATGATTACTATTGGTGAAAGTGAGGGACTTAAGATCATCAATGACTTTAATATCCACATGGGAAAAAGTGCTTTCAAACAAACTCGTGTAGCGGATTCTTTTTAATGAATTTATGTAAGTACAAAACTCTAATGTTCATTTCATACATTTTTGCAATAATTAAACTTTTTAACTAAGGATTTTCATTTTTCATTAATTCTTTCCTCTTTTCTAAATTTTATAACCTTGGAATTAGTAATCTGTAGGAATTTTATTTCTTTCCTATCCTTTAGGGCAGGGTTTCTTAAACATTTTCCAGTCGTGACCCCCTTTTATCACTGAGATGTTTTTGCGACCCCCAGGACCTCATAATATTTACAAAACTTTTGTGGGACCCCATAAGTATTGTGCAAATCCGACACACGCGTGAGTGAAAATGTCAATATTTTCACTTGTACTATTGAAGTTTTAGGTCATTAACTTTAATATCTTATTTCAAGACACAGAACAATGAATGAGAAAATTTTAAATAAGTAACAGACGAAATGACAGCGTCACGGGCAAAGAAAGCAAAATGAAGGTTTATATTATAAAAAGAATGCATCGAAACGTTTCCGTTTTTTTCTTTGTCTGTATTGTCGTATCTTTATCTATTTTCAGATACAATGTATAAAAATATTTGGTAATTCCAAAATTATTATAATAAGTTAAAAAAATCAAAACTGCTAAAATATTTGGCGACTCCCTGCTGCAGATTCCGCGACCCCCTCCCCCACAGTTTAAGAAACCCTGCTTTAAGGCATAACTTACTATGCTTTTACTTATTCCAAATTCCTGTCCTAAATCTCTCATACCAAGCTTTTCAGTTTCTGCTCCATGAATTAAATCAAGATTTTGTTTTAATGTCAATCTTTTCCTTTTTGAAGCCATGATAAATAGCATGTGTAAAAATAACACGTAAGTACAAAACTGCACTTCTTTCCCCAGTCCGAGCAAGAACTAAGAATGATACAAGTTTTCACTCCACGACAGTCTGAGATTCATGTCCTTGGCAGATGGCCTAGTCATCTCATCAAATTTTCTTTCCGATTGGTTCTATCTTGATTTGCCTTACAACTTGCTCACACTGTTTTCTGCCTCTACTGAGAACTGTAGTAAGAATAATTGGATTCTGAATTCTATGAATGTGAAATATTCTTTTGATTGCACCTCAGCTTGCTTTTTCCCAAAGTATTGTTCCCTTTTTTCCCAACTGAAAAGCAGTTTTTAGATTATTTTTTTCATTTTATTGTTCTCTTGCCACAAACTATCTTTCACTGAGCACAAATTTGCTTTTCAAACCTCAAAAGATTATTAACAAAGAGTATTTCTGTGTTTACTTATTCCTATAGTTCTATGTTATTTCTTAAACTGATTTTCAGTGACCCTTAAATAGGATATCCCTTAATAAGTGGTGGATTAAAATTAGAAGTGCCGAAGCGCTTTGGAAATATTAAATTATTAGTGTAATAATTAATGATTAGGATAATTGAAAAGTTAATATTAAAATTCAATCAATTATAAGGACATAAATAAAAATATAATAAGTTATTAAATAAATGGTAAATAATTAAGTAATAAAATAAAGTAATGTCTGTCTATGAGATGAATAGGTCTCGCCACAGTGTCTGGCGAGTGGCGTTTGCTATAGCAACAGGGCTAGTATATTTCAAGTAGGAGAGAACCAAGGGTTGTCAGTTCATCTTTAAATGTGCCAAGGTGGCAAACTGAAAAGCAAATCTTCAAGACAAACCCTACGGAAAATGGGTCAAGGTTCGTTTCTGCGGCAACAGACAGATGCAGACTAACAGGAGTGAGCTTTTCATATGATGGACAGACTGTAATGGACCTTGACTTATTTGAGGTTTCAGCTCGAATTACAATGTCACACAAAAATTTATAAATAGCTCAAGCGGTTTCCGGTTTAATTTAAGCTCTGAATATGTACTACTTCAAGGGGTGATAGAAATAAGGACCATTCTCTTTCCAGCACACCAATGAAAACCGTCAAAATCGTTAAAATAGCACTACTGAACATATAAAAACTGATATAAACAGTAAGAGAATATTGAAAAAATTTTCGCGGATGACTTGCAGGTATGAAAACGAAAGGAGAAGAGTCCAAAAATTTTCTGACCACGATATCTTCTCAGCTTCGAGCTTTGAGACAGAGTATATGACAGAGCAACAAATTTTCAACGAATCCGAGAGTTAGCTAAAAAAATGTATCAAGTGGCAATTCTAAAAAGGTTTGCAGGTGCTCTTTTTCGCGGGAACATGAACGAAAAATTTACTCGCGTTCAAACAAAAAAGTTACTTCCTGTCAATTCATTGTACTGACTGAAGAATAAGACTTTGATTTGTGAGTGGGGGCTGTTCTTTCCATAAAAGACTCGATCCTCTATCTAAAGATTTGTTTCCCAAGGAAAGACGACGAAGATCGTACTTTATTCTCGAGTGTCAAGATGTAGAAACATCCTCTTACTCGGCTTCTGATAAGCAATCTAGAGGCAAAAAAAGAACAGTGTATTAGGAGATGTGGGAGTGGGTGAGAAGAGAATCTGGAAAACCAAGGAAAGAGAAGCATGCATTCAGAAATTAGAATCGAAATTTAATATAATTTTATTATTAAAAATAAAATTTTCAAAATCAGATTTCTGCTGAAATCGTTGTTCAGTTACATTAAAGAAGTGTCGCAGCCTTCTTATTTAGGGCTGCGGTGAGCCCCGGCTAGAATTAAGATTTATGCCTAAAACTAAGAAGCACCGGAGCAGAGCTCCGGCGCAATTTAAGCTCTGCATTAAGGTCCCTATTCAAAGGGATCGATAGCAACAGAATTCTCCTTTAAATATAGGTGGTCCCTTGTTCGTAGGTGTCCCTTAACGAAAGTACTACTGTAGTAAAATATTTTGGACTTGTTTTTAATTCAACAACAGTTTAGCTGTATTGAATTTTGTCTCTTTTGTACACGAAACGTAAAAGTACCCTTAAATGTTGCATTCCGTGTTCTTACTGTTTTACTAAAATACTAAAATCATGTACTCGCGTAGATGTAGTTTTAATATTATGTTATTTCATAGATAATGTGTCTGGTGTGTAACAAAGCTTTAGGTGTGTATAGTAATTTAATGTAAACTAGTAAGAAAAAAATCTGTGCTAGCTGCGCGCCTTACCATTATCGATAATATATTGGAAGTCTGTTTTGGTTTCAAATAGAAATTGCGCGAAATATCCGTGAATTCTTTATATTTCGAGTTTTCTGTATGGCGAGTGTGAACTTTGTGAACCTGGCGGAATATTGAAATTATTCTGAATTTTGCAAAAATGGAAGACATTTCGGAATTTTTGTCTGAGACATTCAAAGCGTCGGTCGACTTTTCGTATGTTTTCGTTATATCTTTTAATTAGTATGGTATTTCGTGTTTAATGCAAGCGCCTTTTCAGTAATGTTTTCATGCTTTTCACGTCATATATATATATATATATATTTGAAAAATAATTTATATTTTAGATCTATCACAAAGGCTGATTTGAGAGCAAAGTATATGGAAAAGAATGGATTGTCAGAACTTAATAAAGAGGAAAAGAAGTTGTTTTCTTCTGCCGTAAATAAATTTCTTGTAGAAATTGTGATCCCTAAGATGAACAGTAATAATGCAGCTGTTAATCAACTGAGCAAAGTATGTGAATCATTTATATTTTTAAACAACATTATTCCTTTCTTGATATTAGAAATTTTAATACATGTGACCTTCGAATTGCTGGAAGGTTAAGCCCTCTGCACCCCCAGTTTGCAGATACGGATTTAATTTTTGCCTCCTTGTAAACTTAGTTTTTCACTGCTCCTGTATATCAGAAGCCTTATTAATAATAGATCAGTACACTTTGCCTTGTGTATGGGCCGTATATTGTATTTCTTTTTTTTTTTTTTCCTAATAAAATGAGCTAGGGAAAAGAACAATATAAGGTAAAGGAATTACATTTACAATATTACACTGTATTTACTAATATGCAAGTTTAGGTTATCTGTTTATATATCAGTCATATCATTGCAAGAACATCTGTTAATACCTCCTTTTCGTACATTTTAAAATTTCTATTTATGTGGTACAAAATTTTAAAAGTTTTGTGAATTTCTGTTTCAAAGGATACCAAACATAAACTAATTTATATGTATCAATGTTGGAAATAAAAAAAGAATTTGCTTACACTTAAGTAAATTTATGCATTGATAAGAAAGAAATGGTTTATTTTTGCTCTAATAATGTTAAGGTAAGGATAGGCTATAAATTGAATCATTAGAATCATTCTAAAGTCTTTTATGGGATATGCTATTAGGTATGCTACAGGTCCAACATTCGATTAAACGGCCATTTTTCTGGCATGTTTTTAAGTTTTCAGTGACAGTAGTCAACTCATTCATATGCATGCCATACATGGATTTAGATGCTTTATATTCAACTATCGTTTTGTTGAAGAGTTTGTGCTGGTTGTAAAAATATAACTATTAGCCATACAAATTTTTATTTATTTAATTTATTATTATTTTATTTATTTAATTTAAGTGAAGATTTAGGGAATTTGACTATTTCTTTCTTTATTAGTTAACAATTTTATTTATTCTGGATCTTTTTTTTTTTTTTTTTTTTAAATGATTTTAGTTTGGTAACCTTATATTTTTATGATGGGATTGTAAGTTATTTCTTTATTAGTCATGTGGTGTCTGTTTTGAGTGCTGTTTGTTAATTTTAAAGCTTCATATTTTTATATTTTTAAATAGCAAAAATAGAATTTTATTTTGAGATTTGCATTGTTTATGTGCATTATGGTGGGACTAAGCTCTCTCTCTCTGTTAAAGAAAATTTTTAAACATACATTAAAATATTTAAATAGGCACTGGATTAGTATGCAAAGTATAGCTGTAAAGACAGCATGATTCTTTCTGATTATCCATACCTTCACAAAAAATAGTTGGTGAGTATTGGCATCATTCAGAACTACGGAAAATATTTATTTTATATAAAAAATAAATAAATAAATAAAGCAGCCTGTTTCTGAATGAACAAAGACAAATTAAAATTTAAAAAAGTCTTAGAAAACAAAAGTAATCTGTCTTAATCAGTACAGTCCCAACCAGTCGAAGTAAGTGGTTCATAAATTGCAAAATTAAAGCATCAAAAGCATGGATAAATTCAAAAAAGTGCAAAAAATAAACAATTTTATACAATTATTTTGAGTCTCTTGAAAACAAAACTTACAAAAATTATAATCTAATATTTGAAAACAAAACCATATGGAAATTTAAAAGAAAATAGCATAAATCATAAATAAGCAATGAAACTTTCCAAAAACATGTAAAACAGAAATAATCCAACAAATGAAAAAATAAATGAAAATTTGATCAAAATATTTAAAATAAAAATAGATGTGGAATTTCTTAAAATTTGTAACAGAAGAGCAATAAAAGTTCTGAAATGAAAAAATATATTTGCCCGTATAGTAGCAAAGTTAAAATATGTAAAATAATAAATTTCAAAAACCTATAAATTTAAAACTGAGAAAACTCAGTAAGAACTTTGACTACTGTACACATTTTGGCTTCGCTATTATACTTTTATTTATTTATTTTATCTTGCATTATTACTCCACTTGTCGTTCTGTTAGCATTCAAATGGATTAAGTTTGAACTCTTTTTTACTTTGCATTATATATACATAAAATAAAAATTAGAAGATAAAGATTTTACTATCTGGGAAACAATTTTTGAAGAATTTTAAAAGGATTTAATTTGAAAACCATGAGAAACTTTTTATATGTGTCTATGTGTCTTAATAATTAATGGGTTTATAAGAAAAGTACTATATTATTAAAAATAGAATTGTTGCTGTCTGGTTATTTGCAAATCTGATTTCAGTTGCCATGCTTTAATATACTCTCAAAGGTATGCGTAACAGTAGTCAAATTACAAATGATGTGCATATATCATGCTCATCTGAGTACACACAGATTTATGCACTTTAGCTGTTGCAAAATCTGTCCTTACAGATTTTTGTTTTTCCTCATAAAATTTCTTGTTATTATAAAATTATCTTTTTTTCTTGTAGATGTATAGAATACTTGGCCATAAAGATAACCAAACGAATGTCTTTTGCCAAGTTGCCATTAAGTTAATGACTTTTTAGGGAAGTATGGGTAATCAGAAAGTGCTACAGAATGAAATTACTCTTCTTGCAGTTCTTTTATGACATCAGTCTCTTGATTTTTATACAGTGCAAAGTCTTTAATCCGGACCTCGAAGCTACAAACTTTCTGTGCATGTGTATATGCATTTACGCATGCGCATAATACCTTTTTAAGACATGGAAAGCCCATTGCCTGATCATTTGTAAAGCATTATGGCCCATTGTTAATTAAAAATTGTTAATTTTTATATTTGCCTCTCTAGTACAATTGATATAATAATATTGGGGACAACATCCCCAGTTAACTCAAAACCAGGTTAATCTGAAGGCAAATTCTAAGATCTGATGTAGTCAACACATGACCTTCTGCCAATTAATTCCATGATTTAAATAGCAACAAGCTCTAAATAAAGTGTCAAGTTATACTTTGCTTAAAACTGCTTGGTGTTAAAAACATGGGATATGTTGATTATTTAGAAATAAAATCTGATGTTTATAAACTTCATAGCTCAGTGTTAATTATAAACACAACTCATTTTTTATTAATCTATTCTCCCATGCAATGAATAATGATAACTATATATGCATAAGTACACATCCATTCTCATGCTTTGATTTGAAAATATCAGATCGATTATAGTGTACAGTCAAAAGTCGTTAATTCGGACACCCATAATCCGGAATGATCTATAATCCGGACCTCAAAGCTAAAAACTTTCTGCGCATGCGCCGCGTTGGCACATGCGCACAGGCGTTTTACGCGTGCGCATAAGACCTTGACTACTGCACGTATGCGTGTGCACAAGTGCAGAAATCGTTTTCGCCTGCGCATTTAATGTATAACGGACGGTGTAAGTTAAAATTATCTAATTATCTATTTCAGTTAATGTTAATGATTGCGTTGTTACTTAATCTTCGAATTGGATCGCGCTTATTATTTTTTGCAGACTGTAAGAGCAATTTTATAAAAGTAAACTTGAACTTTCGATTAAGTCAAATAGAATTTCCGATGCTGGAACTTCCAAAGGATCTACAAAACGAAAGTATGTTTCTATGTCCAACAAGCAAAAAGTGGAATTGCTGCAAAAAATGGATAAAGATATGAAGAATGTGACAGAGAGGTTAGTGAAAACGAAAAAATTTCGATTGACAAGTTAGTCAGTATCCTCGGCACAGCAATTAACGGGACTTGAACAGCAGAACTTTGTAACTGAACAAGAAATTATGTCTGTTTATAGAATTAAAGAGAAAGTATTATCACATAAAATGAAGCAACTTAAACAACTTACATTGAAAGAAATGTTTAATAAAGTAGATAAATATTAAGCTTTTTTTTTTTTTTTTTTTGTAAATTTTGATACCCTTTAGATCATAATTGTTCTTTATTTCATAAATTACGGTTTTATATTTTTAAATTTTAGAATTTCTGCATGCCATGCCATCTTATGAAATTTAAACTGATGATCTATAATCCAGAAAAATCGATAATCCGGAATCGCCGAAGTCCCGACGAGACCGGATTGACTTTTGACTGTATATTACGATCATATAGTGTTTCAGATCTACGAATCAGTGACTTATTATAGTTATACCTGTTTATAATTAGAATCTTCAACAGTGTTAAGTACTGCCATATACAGTACAAAGTCTGTAATTCGGACGTCCATTATCCGGAATGATCTATAATCCAGACCTCAAAGCCACAGACTTTTTTTTGTATGCTTTACGCATGCACGTTTAATGTTACGGCATGCGCATTTAATGTTTCCGCATGCGTGTTTAGCACAAAAATCGAAGCAACTTGAACAACTTACATTAAAAAAAATGTTTAATAAAGTACACAAATAAATATTAAGCTTTTTTTTTTTTTTTTTTTTTTTTTTTTTTTTTTTTTTTTTTTGTAAATTTTGGTACCTTTTAGATCAAGGATGTCAAACTCGCGGCCCACAACAAATATTTTTGCGGTCCGGCCAATATATCGGCAAATAATAATAAAATAACATATCGATGGAAAAAAAATGAAATGTTTACTGCTTAGTAATTAACGATAATTTATTCAGTGTTGTTAGATTACTCACAGCGAGCTGACACACACACTACTTAAATTACAAATGCGTGTGAGTAGCTTGCGTTCAGCTACCTTCGGCTTTTGGGTGACACGTGCACTCAGAACTTGTACGCATCCCCCGATAGCTGAATGTGGCCAAACTCATGGTCTCAGTTTTCCAATCATAGTTTTGTACGATTATATTGGTGCAGGCATGCACTTTGCTGTATTATTATTACTTAATTCATATTGTTACGGATTTCATAGTTATTTATTTATTTAGTTTTTTTTTATTTAGAATTGTAATTAGATTTGCTTCATGTTGCCTTAGCAACGCAGATGATTTTTGAAAAGACAGCTGCATTGGAAGGTTAAAAATAGAACAGCGCGTGCATTTAATACCTAATAAATAAATATATTGTAATTGCTGTTGCCATCCACAAAAATCCAG